TGGATTCGAGCCTCAGTCCAAGTCCATTCAAATTTTGAGTCTAGCAGGGAGTCAAATGGGCCTAAAGGTTACGTACAATGTCAGTTCATACGATAAATTGTGGACTAATGCCCAAGGAGCAGATTCATTCACTAGGTCTGGTCTCAACAGTATGAGATAGGTCGAGGTTGTAGTGCCATCTAACAAGGCCCAGAGAACACTAAAGATCAATAATCCATGAATTTTAGAATGATTAAAAAAAAATTGGGAACAAAGGTGGTTCCAAATTTAAATGAATGACTCAAAGAAGTTCCAATAAGAAAGTTAAGTTGTTGGTAAGGTTTAGAAGGAAAATTTTGAAGAATGAAAGGAAAGAATTTAGAGGTGAAGATAGTTGCTTAGCATGTTCTAATTGATTCTCAGCCCAACATAGAAGGGGAAGAGGGTGAGAAGATGATGCCAGTCAAAGTAGAACAAGCTCCATTTGGTGGTGAGGCAAAAAGTTGTTTATGTAGGTAACTAGCTTCAGGTGGATTCTGAGGCTTTGACGTTCACCAAATATGGAACCTGATAACTGGTTACTGAATAGGTACAAGTACCCAAGCTTTAAGCTTATGTAGATACCCAATTTCATGATCGATTATTCCAGTCAAGTTGTTGGTATCAAGTAGCAAGGAAGGAGTTTTGTCCAATTAGAAGAATTTGGCTTAGGGGTGCCACTGAAGGGGCAAGGGCCCTGCATGGTTATTTTCTGACAGCTCAAGGGGAGTAAAGTTGCTGCAAAAGCCAACTGAGATACTGGAATTTAAGCCTGCTTTCTATAGATTTAGTTCCTGAATCGTGGTAAGCTTTCCTATAGAAGATGGTATAAGCCCATGAAAATGATTTTCCTGCAGTTCAAGATTCCTGAGGTTGGACAAAAGGCTATTATCTGTTGGAATTTGTACCGTTCAGTTTATTGTTTTTTCCTAGCCTCAGCTGTTGAAGTTTAGCTAACTCTTGATTTCCATGGGAGTTGATCCTTCAAAATGACTTTTGGTGAGGTTCAAGAACTTAACATTCTTAGGATTGGTCATAAGTTGAACAGGTATCAAACCTGTAATTTGATTGTTTGACAAGTCCTGAAAAATTAGCTATATATGAACATTCAAAAATGAATGGGGAACATCTGATTTCAGATGAAGTGCAAATGGTGGTTATGGGAAAAATAACTGACCAATAAACTGAAATCACAAACGTGAGAACAAATAAAGTGTTATTTATCAAAATTCATGGGTGGGTTTTGATTGATAAAAACTCTTTTCCTATTATATCTTTTCTGCATCATACATTTTCTCAATTTGGATTACCCCCTATATATTGCATTTTCGTAATTTTATATTTTATATTAGCCAATTATGTTGTTTTGTAAAACTACACATATACCCCTAATTTTGTTTAAAATATACATTAAAATAAAATAGTTGTATAAAATGTTTATATATTTTCTTCAATTAATAATTAATTCAAATTTAATCAAATTTGAATATCTAACATTCTTAACAAATTCAAATTTAAATTAGTACATGCAAAATCCATCATATCATCAAGAATAGTCTTAATTGAAGGCGCGTGGGCAGCAAGAATAATAGTCTTGTTCACACATGCCTCGTCTCACTTCCGTGTCGTGTCAAAAATTCATCTATCTTGAAATGAGTCGCTGACATTGCTGGCTATTTGTTTTATTCACCTTTTTCTAGAATAAAAATATTAAAAAAATTATTTAAAATTGCCCCACATTATTATATGATAAGAATGCAAAATTATTATTGTGCCCCATCATACATTTTTTTTTATTCAACTTCATACACACATTCATATTTGCTAGCTATTTGTTTTATTCACCTTTTTCTAGAATAAAAATATTATAATCTAAATGAGGCCCATTACAATATGAGTAGAAAACTGAAAATTATTTAAAATTGCCCCACATTATTATATGATAAGAATGCAAAATTACTATTGTGCCCCATCATACATTTTTTTTTTTTTTTTTTTGTATTCAACTTCATACACACATTCATATTAAATGCTTAGACGTGCATCTTAATATGGGTCATTAAAAAAATAAAAATTAAGACACCCCCTATGTTTTCACGTGTTGACTAAAATCCGCCCTATGCTTTGCATATTATTGAGGCACCCGCTATAATTTGAAACCGCTTTATTTATCACTGGGAGTAGGAAATAATATTTTTAACCTTATCATTTGACCAAATCAGTCAAAAGATAAATAAATAAAATGTTGATTTTGGCCCCAATTCTAGTTTTTAAAATGTTGATATGAAAGGGATAATTTTTTAATAGGGTCTTTTATTGAAACACCCTTTTTAATAGGGTCTCCAATCTGATCCAGTGCAATGTAAGTCCATTATAAATGGATCAGGTCCAATCCAATCTAATGAATGTTTTGGATCAATTTGGATCAGTTCAATTCAATGTTTAGACCGTCTAATTTGTTTAAATTCATTTTAGTTTAGATTGATTTTAATTCAAATCCGGTCCATTGATAATATATTCTTATCTTATATTAATGGACCAGATATTGACTTAATCCAACCCTATCCAAATAAATTTGTTACGGACAGACCAAGTCCAATCCAATCTAATAAATATTTTGGACTGAATTGGTCCAGTCCAATGTCTTGTTGGTCTGTTCAATCCGTCCAAATTGATTTTAGACTGGACGGGGTCCAATCCGAAACCAATCCATTGACATCCTTACTAATAGGTGGTGTTCTAGTAAATGACCCTTTTAATATTAAAAAACCATGGGCCCATGGCCTTTTATATTTTTTACAAATTTTGAGAGGTCATGTAACGGGTTGTGTACTTGTGTTGTCCGGCTCACTCAAATACTTCTCATGAAAAATGGAGAAAAAATGGAAAACTTGAATTAAAAGAGAGTACATGAAAATATCGTTTAGTAATAATTAGTAATTTGATATATCTTCTCCTTGGAATATACTGTAAGAAAAATGAAAATATCAGTTAATACATTGTGAAAATATGTTGATAAATAAATATTTAGATGAATAAAAATTGGTGCTATATATGTCTTCAACATTCAAAATTTTGAAACTGGTGGAGTGAATCCAAGGTCTCTGAGGACTAATAAATGCATAGGAAAGTCATAAAACTGAAGTAAGACATAGATAAATTAATCAATTAAATGACCCAGGCCCAGAAGGATTTTCTTACCCAAAAAAAAATATGGAAAGACTTGGAGGGATTTGACTTGTCTGAAACATGGAAAGAAAGAAATGGATATAATTGCAGGTATGAAGAGGATCAGAATTCAGCAAAGATGAGGTTGTTGGTTCTTTTGCGCTTATGTCTTATTGTTCTTTTGTTGTCTCTTGTATATCAAAGGTACATAAGCAATTTATTTTCGGTGAAATCTGTTATATTTTTTGTATGAAGCCTACAAAGACTCAATTTAACACATCTTTTATCATTTTTGATAGGGTGCTCTTTTTACAATATCCTCCTGGTGCTGGTGAAGGAAAACCAACACCAATTCTCCCAGCACCAGACCCTCCGATTCCCTGATAAGAAGAAATGGGCATTGACAAGGCAACAGGAGAGATTGACGCTTTCTTTATGAATTTTTGTGGTTTTGTGGAAACTTTTGAATCAACAATATATTTATTCCACATATCTGTATCAACCTTATAACCTATTTTGTAGTTTGTATATGGAGATTTTCCTGGTGATATTAGGGATTAAAAGCTTATGTATTTCAATCCAAAAAAAATTCATCAAAAGGAGATTATTCTAGACATGTAGCAAGAGTTTTAACAATGTTGCTTCATGGTTAACACAGTAATCGTGCAATTTGGTGATGCTAAACCGAGTTTAATATCACTTCCATTAGACTTGAACCAACTATAATTCTTTAATTAATGAAACAAATAAATCAACTTCACCAATAAGGCAATAAATATAATTGGAAAAATCTTTGATGCAGAAAAGATATGATATGAAAAGAGTTTTGACAAATCAAAACTCATAACACCTTATTTCCTCCCGCATTTATGATTTCAGTTTATTGGTCAGTTATTTTTCCCATATCATAGTTGAACCCATTTCTCTAATGTCAACATGAGTTTAAATATTTAAGTGGATCAAAATGGGTGGCTTAGGGTTGGCTTCCAACTTTCTACCCATTTACATGTTGTGGCTTGAATTTTTGTTGCGATCTATTCCACGTTTTGATCGGGAAAAAATCAAAAGGAAAATTTGATTGAAATCTGTGGTGGATGCAGCAGTACGAATCCAATTCATATTCAACATGAGGATCTGCTCACTCATTATATTATGTTCCTATGTGTTTGGTTGCAATGCAATTTATTTGTATTAATACAAATGCATAGAAGTGCAAATGAAAAAATACAAATTTTCGTTTAATTCATTTATTGTGGCCGGTTCAACCGGCTAGCCTATGCTAACGGTGGGTTCAGGTGTAGTCCACTTTTCTTCCTTTTTATTTCATTCTTAGTATCTCTTAATTTATTTAATTTTGAATTGCCTTCGAGACTGCATTCTTTTGGCTTATCACTGTGAATTAATCTGTAGTCTTGGGCCTTGGCACCTGTGATTCTACACTGTGTATCCTAGGGGCTCGCACCATTTGAGATTTTACGTATATTTGACCTTTTCACTACTAAAATGGATTCACACAATCCACCCGGATTCGCACCCGAATTTCACATTTAAGTTGGGATTCCCACAACAGTGTTAATGAGTAATGACACATACTAGCATGCAATTTGAACATAGAACTCACCAAAAATCAATTGCACAAGAAATGACATTTTTGGCTCAATTCATTGATGATACCACACACACACAATAGAGAGATGGAAGAAATTACATATTTGGCTCAATTCATTTATTGATGTAATACCTGGCCTAGAGGAATGCACCATTATTTTAATTTGATATCTCGGAGAGAGAGAGAGATTAGCTAAGAGCTATGATTATGGTGCAACAGACTCGAAGAAACTCTTCATATTGTAATTTCCTTCCACCATAGGACTGGTTCCGTTCCACATCTGCTCTGCCATTTGTTGGTATGCTCTATCAGTAAGATGGAAAGAATCCCAAAACACATAGTCATTGGGATCATCACATAACTGATATTCTTTCACTGCTCTTCTTCCACCGCAACTGGGGACTCCCCCAAAGCGTCCTGTACCGCAACATGCATTTTCTCCTTCCTTGAAACCTTTTTATTTTCATTAATCACAGATGTTAGCATATATTTAACAGAAGAGAAGAAAATTGGGGAAATTTCGATTGAACTAACGTACCATATTTTGAGGGGTACTTCATTAGTTGGCTGAGGAATGTATAGAAATCGTAATTTGAATATTTGAACTCTGCCAACTCTCTCTCGAGTTTTATGAGGAGTTTCGATAGAGCTTTATTATGTAATTTGCAGAGTGTTAAGACTTCTTCTAAGCAGCTTCCTTTATTTTCTGGTTTGATTATTCTTAGAGCTGGAAGACAACCCAACGTCCCTATTCTGATGAAACCAAATTTTCTGCCTCCTATCTTGTATATTTCCTGCCAAATCATATGCAGCCACCGATTTTTCAAATTAGCAAACGAAAGAAACCAAAAAAAACAGGAGTGTAGCACTCCCTCTCCTTTCTAAAGGGAGTCAAAATTCTTTCGCCCTTACTTGTATGAAACTGCTGAAGTTGGCAATCACCCTGCCCACATATTGTGTCTGAGAGGACGCTGGAATGGTGGAGTTGGCCAAGAAAGGAAACATGTAATCGTTGCTTCCAATGCTAATTAAGTAAACTGCTCTTGACAACAGTTTCTTAGCTTCATCATCCCCCAGTTCCTGTTTCAACCCTCTTGCCACCTTCTTAAAGTAGCTCAGCTGCGTTTTGAGGTTGATTACCAGTCCTCGATAGGTTTCAACAAGAACACCAGCTCCAGAAGAGGCGAAGTTTGCTCCGTCACTGAACCGATGAACGCCAGGATGTAGAAATGGTGGAATGAACGGTATATTTGCATATTCCGCTGCAATATAAGCACCATCGATCATCACAACACAACTACGTACTTATTCATGTTTATTATTACTAGTTTTATCAGCTTCAACGAGAGAGAGAGAGAGAGAGAGGATTGCACCAATAAAATCCACCGATAGGCGACCATCAGAGAAGCGCCCACCGGGGTACTGGAATAAGGTTTCTCCATATGGCCAGTAATTTGCCTGGACGATAGTGCTGGTATTGATGTAATTGTTGTTTCCGGCATCCGAGAAGGAATCGCCAAAGATGAAGAAGGGCACATGATTTTTCGGCTTCCCCAGATCATAACCCAGGCTGCAGGTGCAGGCTGTGGGAATGATGAGAAGGGTTGCATAGAATGCCAAAGAATACAGGAGACTAGTTAGCGTTGCCATGTCAAGGAGTCTGATTATTGATCTCTACGTCCACCATTATATATATATATATAGTAGCAGAACAATCCTTACAGAAGGGAAACAGAAAAACAGAAGATGAATAAAAATATAAAGCTTCGCTGACTTGAAATTTCTCAACTGGATTATGGATAGAAAAATGGTTTTGATTCATCCGTTTCATTTCTCATTTGGTCGTTGGTCCCTACGCAACGGTGCATGAGTTCACGTAGCCTTTAGGAATTAATAATAAAGGGTACCCTAATATAAAATATGAGATTGCCACCGAGACCCGTAGATTATTTGTTATTTAGTTTATATCCATGACAGGACAACTGCCTACCTGATCAAGTTATAACCCATTAAAATTTAGGATACTGCATTGACATTCAAGCAACTGAGTTTACACTAATTAATTAGGCCAACAGGGAGATATGTTGAATACTTGAATTGTTGTTTGTACTTCAGACAAAACAAACTTAGAATCCTATTTTGATTAACTTTATGCATTGATCGCGTCAAACCTTAAAAATGAAAAAAGGCAAATGCATCCTTGGAATCCTACCTCCTAAATTCACTCACATGTGAATTCGGAAGAAAATTGAGAAACTATGGGAGACCAGACCACGCTAATCGCGGGTTCAGGATGTGAAGTGAGGCTACCAGAGCCCTCCAATGGTAAAGATATCAATGCTGGCACCGACGATGATGATATTGGATGAAATAAAATAAGAAACTATAAACGAGGTGTCAAATTATGAACAAGCTGACCATAGCAGTCCCTTTTGTCTAGTTATATGTGAAGAATTATCTTTGATAATTTCCCTGCACCTCTCCATTACTCATGAAGACCGCCCTGAACCATCAACTGGTCTCTCTGCTGGTTCCAACCCCCAGTGGCCTATCAGTCGCTTCAACTTCTGTCAAATTTTCTACTGGTTCCACATCATGAGCCTCCTCCACCCCACCTACCTCTTCTTTCCCATTAACCCTTTCCTTTGTTTTCTCTGTTTCTTTGGTTGCCAATTCAACATTGGTTTTTCTTTCAGTTGCCTCTGGCCTTGTAGCGGTGGTGGTTGCAGAGGCAGCCCCAACATTTTGCTCAAGTTGCATTAGCTGCGTCATGTGCTTTTTTCCTGTTCTGTGAGAAGCCATCACAGATTCATTATTTGCCCCCACCTTGCACATTTCACACCATAGTGTAAATTTTTTCTTGGAAGCTTTTCTCTTTCGCTTTTTAGGAACTGGTGCTTCCGCATTTTTCATTTTAGAATCTTCCGTCTTTTGCTTCTTTAGTAATGGTTCGTCCCCATTTTGCTTCTTTGAATCCTCTATCTTATGTTTTCTCTGCATTAACATCTTCTCATTTTGCTGCTTCCTCGCTCCTTTTTGCTTACCTTGCTTTGTTTTCCGACTACTAGTGGATAGCTTAGTGGGCTTCACCATTTTCTTTGGCAACGAAGTGGAGATGCCAGTATTCTTTCCTGTTACATTATTAGCTTTTAACTCTGCTTCCATCGCCTTGTGTTTTCTCCCTTGGAGGTGATCATTTAAATCTTGTTCACTTGTTGTACTAACTTGACAGATAGCACAGCTCCATTCTTTCTGGGATTTCTTCTTTGAACCTGCCATAGAAAGCTCACCAGCACCTGTTGCTGCCAGTGCTATTTCTTTCCTCCTCATTCCTGCAAGACTAGTTTTCAAGGGCTTAGCCTGCAATGGAAAATCAGAAACCGTCCATCAGTAAGAAACCAAGATTAATTATTTCTGGTGGACGATGGAGGCCATTGCAACGTCCAACATGTGACTGCATCCTCTGTTTCTTTTTTCCTCCCTTCTTTCCAATAATGGTGAAGCAACACATTTTCAACTGGTCTTAAACTTAAAAAAATGACAACCTTAGAAAAGATAATATTTTTTTGATAAATAAACCTTAGAAAAGATATTTTTTTAAGATAATTTAGATGTTCTTGTAGGATTCTTTCCCCAGACTGTCCATCCTGCAAAGGACCACAGTCAAGGGATTTACCTCCTTACAGGAGATCCTTTTCTTATCAGTCCTGGTGGGAGATCCTCTATATCCATATATACAATGTAACCATCTAAACGAGTCCATGTGCAACAATCACGGCATATTGCTTAGAACAAAAAATGTAGAAACATGATTCCAAGGAGGATAACAAAAAATACTGGATCCATATTGCAGAAAGACATATAACTGTAAATTACCACAAATCCAGTGGTGTCGATGCATGCTATGTAGGAATTACTGCAAGTATTCATTACCACTTTGCCAGACCATATTCAATCCACAAAAGCTCCAGCAAAACACACACTAAAGTACTTAAAATGAGAAGGATAAAAAGAGAACAAAAGGTCATCATAAATGCATATATGGTCCCTATTATGGGAATTACTCAAGACTATTCATTAACACAAATCCAGAGGTGGTGTCAATGCATGCTATATAGGAATTACTCCAAGTATTCATTACCACTTTGCCCGACAGTATTCACCCATAAGGCTCCAGTAAACACATATAAAAGTGTACTTAAATGGAAAAGGGAAAAAAAAGGCCACTGTAGGAATTACTCCAAGTATTCATTACCACAACTACAGAGGTGGTGTCAATGAATGCTATGTTGGAATTACTCTGAGCATTTATTACCACTGTCAGACTTACTCAGTCCACAGGCTCCAGAAAACACACACAAAAGCACTTAAATGGTGGAAAAGTCATCCTAAATGTAATGTATGGTTCCTATTGGAGGAAGTTACTCCAAGTATTCATTACCACAAATCTAGAGGTACTGTCAATGCATTCTATGTAGGAATTACTGGGAGTATTCATTACCATTTTGACAGACCATATTCAAACCACAAAGGCTACAGAAAACACACACAAAAGTACTTGAAGGAAAAGGGGAAAAAACTGGTTTTGTCTGACAAAACACACAAAAAATGGAACTCAACAGACTACTTAGGGGGTGACACTTGACAACGTGAATGGTTTTGTTTTCAAAATAAAAACAACTTCCACATCAGCAAAACTGTATTGTTTTTTATGATGTGGTGATTTGTTTTAGAAAAACAAAACCACTTGTGTTGTCAAACACCCACTTAATGAATAAACAGAAGTCCTCATTACTGGATAACACAGATAGTAGCAAGATGGGTAAATAGTCAATTATAATTTTCATTAAAAAAACACTATGCTTAACTATAATTTATAAATTGTAATTCTTACGTTTTTAAGGGATGGGAAAAGCCCAACTATCCTATGCAACCATAAAGCATACATTGGCACAACTTCTAAGTGAAATAATAATGAATAATTATTTCTTATTTAAATAATTACTATCCATTTTTTAATTCCAAAAATTACAAAAAATCAAAAATAAAAAACCATTGTACAATATATTCAAAAACATTATTGAAGAAAAAAAACTCTATGGATAAGATAGATCATCCATAGATCTACAATATATTCAACCCTTATGATTAAATCATAAAAATATAATTAAGTATTATTTATTTTTTAACTCTAAAAAATATAAAAAATCAAAAAACTAATTATTGAAGAAAAATTTTCAATTGCTCTATGGATATCATAGATCATTAAATCAATAACATACATAGTCTTTATGGGCAGATCACAAGAAAATATAAATAACTAATATTTATTATTTAATTCCAAATATTACAAAAAAATTAAAAACAAAAAACTTGAACAAGAAATTTCAATATAGATCTCCCAAATTTCTTCATAAAATTTCCATAGATCTACTATAACACCAAAAAAAACTATGATTTTCAACACAAAAATGTAGATCAACATACATTTAAACATTTTCAAGCATTCAAGCAAAAAGAAAACAAGAAATCACAAGATATTAAGAGAAAATTTGAAAAAAAACTTATCTATTTTTGCAATATTTTCCAAAACTTGAAAAATTATTCAAAAACCTTGATGATTCACACTTGTTTCTTGTGCCTTCTTGCAAAGAATGAGGTTTCAAGTTTTAGAGTTGTTTGAGGGTGAAATGGCTTATTTTGGGGGAAAGAAACCTTCATTCCCCCCCCCCTTTTTTTTGCTTTTTGTCTATATCTTTTACTTAGCAGTTCAACCAATATGCCCAACATGCCATCAATACGCCTAATACATGGCCAATACAGGTATGATATGGTGGAAAAAGATGATACTACCTATTTCCCACCATATCCCATATTGGTCATTCAAAGATATGATACCATGCACCCCATATCAGGTATATTGTGTCGAAATTTAAACCTTGCTCTAGACTTAATGGTGATGATGATGACATAGATAAGAATTGGATTAAGAATCAACACATTGATGAAAAAGAGTCCTAAAAAATATTCACCCTGACACTATCTATGTAATAAGAAAAGAACTTCTCTAACGATCCAACAGAAATGGTTTCTAAATTATTTAAAATATAATGAATTAACCACCTGATGATCTGATTCAGATACTTAGGGCCTATGACATCATCTAAATATGCAGATAAAGGTAGATACTACTCTTGTACTACTGAAAAAGTAAAACCTGATAAATATTAGTTGTAACAGGATTGCAGGATATCTGAACAGGAACACACAGATGGCTGAAATAGGTGTTCGCAGGCATCATGTGTAAGAGAGTTTAAAGGTACAGAGAGGTATTGTATACAAGATTTATGTTAGGGTGGTTGAAGAAGAAAGTAGCTCGTAAGTACGAAACAATCCAACGTATTGCTGAATGTTGTCATATCATTAATAGGGAAAAAATCGAGAGGAAGAATTAGCGGTTGATTGGTCTAATCACTTGAAGAAACAAAAGGTTGGTTTATGCAGGAATATGAGGTCTAGAAAAAGGTATTTTAAGAACCAAAAACTTAAACCAATAGTAACAAGATAGAATATATAAAAGTATAAATTAGAACATTAAAAAAAGAAGCCCCCAGGAGAAGGCTTCATAAAGCTAAACTTTGATGGAAGCAGCCTCGATAATCCTAGGCCTTCTGGTATTGGAGGTGTATTCAGGAATGCAGAGGGCCAGATTGTTGCTTCATTCTCTGGTCCAACTGGAATGAGGGATGCGGTTAGTGGCTAGTGCAGAGGTACAAGCTGTTTTACAGGGAGCACAAATTGCTAGAGAGTTGAGCTCCAGGAGTTTGGTCATTGAAGGAGACTCTAAAGTGGTAACTGGGTGGCTGAATTTGAAAGAACCGGAGACTGTAGCTTGGTCTTTCAGGGGGTGTTGAGAAGATTCAAGTGGCTAACTTCTAATTTAACAGGTAAGAGTTCAATGGGAGAACGGCTAATGGACTGGCAGACCTACTAGCTAAGCAAGGGATGAACAGGTCTCACTTACTCCCCATAGGGGTTGCATTTAATGCAATTCCTAGGATACATCAACCATGATGTCTGTTAGTTATAAAAAGTATATGCATAACACATAATAAACAAGGATGTAAAATCTATCAAAAAAACAAAGGATGTAAAGGAAAGTAAGGAGCTAATAAAAGATATCCCCGATGGCATAATGCTTCTATGTACTGCTACCCAGGAAAATATCCTGCCCATAGGGCCTTTATACCGGGGCCAAAGGTATAAACCCTAAATCACTGCCCCTCTTCTGCTCAACCCCGTCAACTGCTAACTCCATAGGAAAGCCTCCTTAGTTGCTGGGAAACAGGTCTGTACTCCAAAGATGCCCAACATTCTGGCCCACATCTTCCTAGTAAACCCATAATGCAGTAAAAAATGATCCAACGATTCAATACACTTGTTGCACATGTTGCAAGTAGATTGTCTATAACAACCCAAAGTGAAATTGGATTGAACCAACCCAACCCAACTTTTCTGGGTCGGGTTTGGGCTGGATTCATCCAGACCAAGTTGCAGACCTACATGTAAGGCTCTACCTCCCAATCATTTAGGTTTCTCCTAAAGGTGGGATTCCCTTTTGTAATGACTTTTTTCAATTTCTATTTTCTAATAAAGGATCCTCCACATTTATATATAGCCAGCCCTTACCCTAGCTTTCCCACTTCAAAAACAACTCTCTAACTAATCTTTTTTTCTGGGAGAAAATTACTAATCATTCTCTAAGTTGTGCCTGCAAAAAAACCCATCTAAAGACTTAACTGTCTTTAGTGATTGATGTCAACTACCTTCTCAACATATACCATCTGAGAATGAGATTAATCAAAGAAGACAAGTAGTAAAAGTAATATTTGTGAATAAAACAGAACAGGGTCTACATTAAGGGTAATGCATTCAAAGTATAAGTAGAAATGTGGGAAATGAATGAATTATCAAAAAAAAAATGTGGGCAATGAATGCTTGATGATAAATGGACCTTGATTAGAAAAGGTATGCTTATCCTAAGAAATCAAAAACTAACACATTTAGGAAACAAAGGATGATGAACAATATGACTGTTATAACATATGCAATCATGGTTCAAAGTATTGATACTCTTGATATGCAAAATTTGCATATTGAGAGTTTTGGCTTATTTTTTTATGTTTTGGTCTTAACGTTTTGGCAGGTGACCCGTCACATCACACATTAGACTTTTAAAAAATAAAAATCAAAACTTATAAATATTTATATTAGGCGTTGTGGTGGCCCTGAAAACCAATACAATCAATACTTTGAACCTTGCAGTCACTCAAACTGTCAAACACACCAAAGTTTAAAAAGCATACAGTCAAGGTCCACATATGACAAAATCTTTTATTTTCCCAACATCTCTTTTGAGCAAGGAAGAAGAATGCCTTGTACTATAGTTGTGAAATAGAATAGAGAAGAGTCAAAGACAGTAGCCAAAGCAATGCCACTAAAAGAATTCAAGGAGACTACATAAGCAACAAAGAGCTTCAATTCATACTCAACTACACTAAATGGAGTAGTGTTACAGCTTAAAACTAACAGTAAAACCTAATATTTTTTTTCACTTAAGAACAGTAAAACCTAATATTAGAAAATATATTTAAAAGAAGAAAGAAAGATAACTTGTACTCGGTCATAAAAGCAAGAACAAGAGAACAGAAGATATGAATCCATAGATCAGTCACGAGAATAAGAACCCAAACTAATAGTTATCACTATAAACTATCAAAAAAGACTTTTTTTATTTGGTATGCATACAAGCTATCAATATCGAGCAAAGAATCCACCTATCAAACAATCCAAGCAATGTAGGGGTAAGGCACTCACCAAGAAAACAGCTTTTCCCTTACTAATTTCAGTTGTCTCGGGATGGCGCTGGAATTGCAACCCCTCGACAATTTGAGGGCGACCCGGGAAATACAATCTATCAGCAACCCTGCTACCTTCAGCCCTACTACCCTCTGGATGCATCATCCCAATTTCTAGGCGGCTCGGAAAAGACAATCTCTCCTCCAGCCTACTACCTTCCGGATACCGCATGTCAACTTCGCTGAATGACGTTAAGGGCATTCTCTCCTCAACTCTACCACCGTTGGGGTGATGCATCAACGGGATCCTTGGATCCGAAAGAATAGAGGAAACCCCTTCTCGTCTACGCAGCGCTGCTAACTCTCGCTCCATTTGTAATTCCATCCTTACCTCTACCTCAAGAACCCGTCTACGCGCCACCTCTGCGGCGATAAGCTCCGCTCTAATCCTCTCTTTCTCCAGCTCCCTATTAACCGCTTCTCTAACACCGACCGCATCCCTCACAACTTCATTGCTTCTATTGTCACTGATCAATCCCACTGAACCCAACAACCCAAAAAAAAAGAATCAAAACCATTTAACTTCGAAAACAAGAAACGAAATCATTGAGAACGAAAGATGGGTTTGTGAACATTTACCGCGCAATGCCTGTTCAGTGAAGTAACTATTGGTAGTTGTTGAAGAAAAGAACGTCGAAGGCCTGTCTTCGACTGGTTGATACCGGAATTCCATGTCGAATGCAGAGACGTAAGGAAGGTTCTGTGCTGATTAGGGTTAGGGTTAGTGTTCTCAGATAAGGATCTAATGTGTAAGCAACGAAAGAAGGATCGTTCTAGGGGGAAAGAGAAATTTGAGGAAATGAATCCTGCAACTACAAGGAGTTAGAGAGGAATGGAAGAAACCGGTCGTTTGGTTAAAAGATGAAAGGAGATGTCACCGCCGGGAATCGTGGAGACTCCCTCTCTCCCTGTCGTCGTCATCGAAGGACCTGCCACTCGTGGGTTTGGCCAAATTACTTATAGGGCAAATTTATTAAATTACCCTTAATGATTTAATTAATTGGTTAACTATATCCTTAATGTTTAAGTATTATTTTCATGGTTTTCAAACCCGGACCGGACGGTCGGACCGAAAACCGGTAATCGGTCAGCCATCCGGGTCCGGTTTTACTAGAAACCGGAAAATTGAAAAAAACGTTGAAAAGTCAAAAAACCGCTGACCTAGGCGATCGGACCGCTAAACCGTTTGACCCGGGGCAGCGGTTTGTGTTGTTGATATTTTTATTTATAATGTTTTAAATAAAAAAAAAACAAAAAATAAAATACTTATTATATCCCAACCAGTTTGAATCCCTTATTCGGTTTTCCCTTTAGCTTTAGGGTTATTTCCCATTTTCCCGAGTTCCCTCCTCACTCCTCAGTCCTCTCAACCCTCACACCCTACCAACCGATCACTTGCGACTCACCTCCAGGATCCGATGGCGATACACACCGATGGCAACCAGTGAGCTTGCAGTGGCGAAAAGTCACCCTCACCCCAGCACTTGCAGCGGCGTCCAACGACGAGAAGATCCAACACTTGCAACGGCGACTTGCATGGGCGGACGACGAGCTTGCAGCAGCACTCGGCACTCGGCATTGGGCACTAGCGAGCCCAAGCTTGACTTGCAGGCTTGCAGCGGCAGCGAATCCACTCGGCACTCAGCACTTGTAGGCTTGCAATGGCAACTTGCCTGCGACCAAGCCCGACTACCCGAGCCCACCGGCAGCAAATCCACTGTCACACCACCATTACCGGCACTCGGCAGTGAAACCCTGAAGGTATAATTTTTTTATTTTTTTATGATTTAATTGATTTTTTGAATTTTTTTGATTCATTTGGTTCATCAGCCCCTGTTTGTTCTTCATTTGGTTCATCAGCAGTAGATGATAAATTGATAGATTTACTAGCAGAAAGTTGTTGCTTGTATTTTTGTATCAGTTTCTTGTTGATTATATGCCTTGTTGAATCCTTAAACTTCATTTGATGATCATATGCTTAGTTCTTTGTTTAATTAATCTTGTTTAATTTGTTTTTAATTTTCATATGCATATTTTGCTTAATTTTCATATGATGATCAGATGGTGAAAGTTTTGCTTAAATTTTTGCAAGCAATTTACTTTCATTTCTAATGGAGTGATTTTACATTTTGGTTAATTATTTGCTTAAGTATTTGCTTAATTATTTTTTGCTTATATGGAGCGATTTTACATTTTGGTTGGTTCTTTTAGTCAATGCAAGGTTTTAAATTTTATATTTTATGTTTGTATGAAAGAATTTATTTTTGAGTTGGGTTTCTTTAATTGAACTAAGATGATGGAATCACAAAGTCTAAATGCTAATACATCTGATCCAGCTCCATCATAAGAGTCCATTTCATCAAATGTTAGGGGAAAAACTGATTCTGCTTGGGAGCATGTTTCCCTTAAAGTTAAACCCTCTTAATGGATCAAAGTCAATGACATGTCTTTATTGTCAAAAGACTTTTAAAGGGGGGGGGGGGATTAATTCTAGGTATGCAAAAGATGTAAAGGGGAAGGAAATAATACAAATAGTTTTGGATTCTGAATTTTGAGCACAATGCAAAATGATTATGGGTTTCACATCACCTCTTGTTAGTGCATTGAGACTTGTAAATTCTGAGTTTAGGCCTGCAATGGGATATATGTATCATGCAATGTTGAAGGCAAGAGAATCACTGAAAAAGTTTTTTAATTATAAGAAAGCTGAATATGACCCAATCATGGACATTATTGATAGAAGATGGAACAGACAAATGGGTCGGAGACTTCATCTTGTAGGGTATTATTTTAACCCGGCCTTCCAATATGATCCGAAATCAAAAGTTAAATCCCCGGCCGTTATGTCTGCAGTTTTTGATGTCATTGAAAAGCTTGCAATCAAATCAGATGATGTAGAGATAAAGCTGAACAAAGAGCTTACTCTTTTTGAAAATTGTCGTGGTAATTTTGGAAGACCTTTCTTAGTGAAGACATTTAAGTCAATGCCTCCAGGTAATAAATATTTTTTTCTTATAACATGTTTATTATTTCAATTTTTTATTTTATTTTATAAATTAAATCAACTTTATTTCATTGTATATAGATGAATGGTGGTCAAGATTTGGTTGTGACACTCCAAATTTGAAAAGGATTGTTGTACGGATCCTCAGCTGTGTGTTGCTCATTTGGATGTAAACGCAATTGGAGTGTTTTTTAACGTATACACACGAAGAGAAGGAATAGGTTAGAGCACCAAAGGCTCAATGACTTAGTATATGTTCATTTCTACCTGCATGTGATAGATGGGTAAGTGTTTTAACTTTTATATTTCATGATTGCTTTTTTTTATACTTGCATTGCATCTAATGTATCATTTATTGATTTGTAGGAGAAAAACTGAAAGTCTTGACCTAATTGGGCATGAACACGTTGATGTTGTGGAAGATTGGATAGTGCACAATGATGAGGATCCTCCATTACTTGATGGTAATGAGAAAGATGATATGTTTAAAACTGATGAAACAACATTTCCAATAATGGAATCACCATCAAGAAAAAGAGCTAGGACTGATGGTAACTATCATTGATATTACCTCAAATGACATTTTCCATACTTGATTATTTTAGCTATTTTTTGAGTTCTAATTTTCTATTTTCGTTCTTTAGATGATGATGAATTTTTCATTGAGCAATCGGGAATTATGGAGGAAAATGCAACCAACACCCAAGTTGGAGATGTAGATGAAACACAACCTCCCGAAGATGAAGATGAAGATGATGGTGAAATACCACCTGGCTTTGGTTAGTAGTTGGTACCATTGAGAAGTGGGGCCAGTATATCTAGAGAATTTGGATGATTATATTTGTGAACCAAACTCTATGTTGAACTTGATGTTTGGATTTGTTTTTAATACTTGGTGAACTTGGTTTTTTATCTTTTTGTTACTTGTGTTTATGATCTTTTTTATTTTTGAGTATCTAAGTATTATGTTTGATGAATTAAGAATGCACGATGTTATAGCAATATGTATAGAATCTTTTGCAAAATTTCTTTTCTTGTCTTCTTAATGTTTTTAAACAGAAAGTCCAAAGGAAACTCTGAAAGACTTGACCATCTAAAGGGGTCCCTTTCCATAAGGTGAAAAAGAAAGTACTCCTTTTATAGTTTGCATTGCTTATGGCCTGGTAGAAGTTTTTCTTACCTTTTTCTTTGTAGATTTGGAATACAGGTTAAAAGGGCTTGTCAGAAATACAAAGAAAGTAGAAGCTGAAAGCCTAAAATAGCTAATGGTAAGGTGCATTGAGCTGTTATAATGGGTATTTCTCAAAAAATGATTTTGTTTCTCAATTATAAGTTATAACTTTTTTTTATTAATTAAAAATTTTATCTATCTAACTAATGATAAGGTGCATTGAGCTGTTATAATGGGTATTTTCTAATAAGTAGGGGGAAGAGGACTTGATGGAAAAAATAGAAGAAGAAGAAGAAGAAGAGGAAGAACTTGTGTTTATAATGACTGATGAATGGATGGAATTCTTTGCAAAATCTGAAACAAAAAGGAGACAAGGTGGTTGTTCAACCCTCTTCCGAGAAGAAGCAAGCAAAGAACAAAGGCAAAAAGTGACAAACATTTTGAAGCGAACAAGGGCTAAAGGTGATCATGGAAGATGGGTAAAATCCATTTATGTATTCTAGAGTCATGATCAAGGATTCCATCTTTTACTCATCCTTATGATGTCAATTTTTTTTCTTTAGTTCAAGTTGTTAAGCTTGTTAACAGGGCTATTAAAGCCAAGAGTTCCTTGTTTCTCACAAGCTTTCAATGCCTTCACCCTAGTTTTTTGAACAGATATTATTTTTTAAGTAGCTCAATCATGTAAAGGAAATTTACTATGAATCCATTACAGCCAAATGTTTATGCTATGAATCCATTTTCATTTGTATTCATCATTTTGATTTCATTATGATTAAAGGAAATTTACTATTTTCAATTGGTTAATTGAAGGTAATTTATTAGGACCTTAAATTTTTGTTTATTGAAAATGCTGCATTACATCAAACATATGGGTGAATATGACTGTAGTTTGATATATGATGAAAAAGAAACTATGACTTATGATTGTAATTACATGATTCTTGATTTGAAAAGATCTTGCTTATTAAAGGTGCTAAACCAATTTTTCACACATGCTTTATTGATCTACTTCATTTCCACTTGTCAGAAGGACATTGCCATTTCTTTCCAATTTCCATTACACAAGTGAGCTATTTTGACTGAAATGTTTCATTAGTTAGTAGCAATTCTGTCCTTAAAGACCTTTATATACATGTAGGTTGTGGTGTTTGGTTGCAACTATAAGTATATTACTAATATTTATTAGACTACCCCTTTATTGAAGAATGTACAAAATTGCAGATATTTTGGAAATACAGATCTGTACTGAACTACAGATTATTAGACTACCCCAAGGCAAGATGGATCCAAGCTGCCTTGCGTTAGGGCCTTGGGTTTTTGGTTATTAGACTACATATCTTTTGGCATGGATGCTTCAAGTAGGCCAAAGGGTCTAAGTACCACAGTTGGATTTTTTTTTTGAAATTTTTTCTATATTTTTGGAAAATTTTCTATATTTTTTGGAAAATTTTTTGTATTTTTTGAAAATTTTTCTATATTTTTTTTGTAATTTCTGTATTTTATTATTTTTATATTTAGATATTTTTATTCTTTTTCCTGTATTTTTCTATGTATTTTTTGTATTTTATTTAAATTTCTATGGTATTTTTATTATATAAGTATTTTATTTATTTATTTATGACATCTTTCAACCCGGACGGTTGAACCGCCGAACCGTAAAACGGTACCCTGACCGGTTCGGTTCTAAAACCATGATTATTTTGCACCACCCCTACCAATTACCCTTCTTCGAAAATGTCCTTTTTGGTTTGA